ATAGATATAGATGATGAATGGATGACAGATGATGGATGGGAAGGTGATGACTGGATGATGCTTGGATGATAAAAGCAAGCAGATACATGAATGGATGAGTACATGTGCTATGTAGTTGGATGAATGGACAGAACTGTAGGTAGGTAGAAGAGTGTAATCGGGTAGGTGATTAGGCTAGTGGATGCCTGACACTATGCAAACACTCAAGGGGTCAAGGGCTCTCTCAAGTTGCTTTCTGACTTGACACTCAGGACATAGTGAATGTTTTCATGTGCAATGATATCTCCAGGGCCTTAACTTTAGTAGGTACTCCATAAATTCAAGGAAAGAGACAAAGCCAGTCACCTCTGATAGTGTAGCCATGAATAGCCACATGCATGGCCAACCTTTGCTTATGGTGTGACTTTTGTTTAATGTTCCTTCCCCTTGGCTCTATTTCTTCATGATCCTTTCCCAACCTTCTTTGATGGTTTCTCACAAGCCTTACCAAGGAGCACAGATATCTCGAGACAGGAAGTGAGGAACAGCAGCACAGGCAGCCATTTCTTCTCTCCCTGCTTTGTGTGATTTCTCAGGCAGTGGTTCCAACTCCCATGTGTGACTCTGTACCCTCTTTCATCCCTTCAGGCTTCCTGGATGTTGGAGGGCTCCTGGTGGTCCTAGTCTTTCCTCTGAAGCTTTCTGTGCCCATCCCAGACTGCAGGGTGAACAACTCCTCTTTGGATCCGGCTGGTAAAGCCACCATTAAGCAACCTTTCAGCCATCATTGTACTCACTGTTGTGTGGCCATCACTACACATTTACAAAACAGAACTTCTGGCTTCATTAAACATCAGCTTCCCACAAGAAGGGAAGAAGAGGAAGGATGCAGAGGTCATGAGGGAGCAGAAAGGTTGAGTCAGGTGAAGAATAGAAGAAAGGATATGTGATAGAAAGGGTTTTAGATAGGAGGGGAGGAGGGGAGGGAGAAGAGAACTGGGATTGTCATGTAAAACAATCTTGTTTCTAATTCAAATAAAAAATGATTAAAAAAAAAAAAAAAACAGCAGCGGCCGGGCGTTGGGGGCGCCCGCCTTTAATCCCAGCACTCAGGAGGCAGAGGCAAGCAGATCTCTGTGAGTTCGAGGCCAGCCTGGTCTCCAGAGCGAGTGCCAGGACAGGCTCCAAAGCTACACAGAGAAGCCCTGTCTTGAAAAACCAAAAAAACACAAAACAAAAAAAAAAAAAAAAAAAAAAAAAAAAAAAACCAAAAAAAAAAAATCAAAAACCAGCAGCTTCCCACCTGTCCAATCAGCCTCTACTCCTCTTTCTGCCTTAGGAATCATGCCTCTCTGTGAGGCTTCATAGATAGGGACCCCACACAATTTTCTGGATTGTTTCACCAAACAGACCTTTCATGATTCAATATGCAAATGACCCACAGCCTTACTGTGGCAACATCAGCACCAGTCACACCCAGACCTGCAGCCGATGCAGTGGGGAAGTCACAGACGACGTCTGGCAGATGTGGATGCTCTCAGGCCATTAAGAGGGGAGGTGACAGAAGACACTGGATGGCGGCCTGCAGAGGTTGGCATGGGGTTAGATACTGGGCATGGTGACAGGCATAGCTATCCTTTCTAAAGCTTTTAAAGGACTCACAATGACATTCTGATCCCATTTATCAAGTAAGAAGCTAGGCCTGTCAGCCCACATGCCACTTAATGTCAGCAAATAAAATCCAATTATTAGGAAAGTCTCAGAAGTCCTTGACCAGAACAGCAGCCAAGGGCCTGGCTTTCCCACCATGAGAGAAGCTGCTTAACCAGGTGACCTTGTGGCTGGGTGGCACAGTGGCCAAGCTACAGTGTGGAGCTTGACACAAAGAGTTGACAGAGTATACAGAGACCAGGCAGTCAAAGTAGAGCCTGTAGGAAACAGGCACCCAAGAGCTGCAGGCGTCTTCAGTCAGGAGTGCTCTCTAAATGCCCACCACGACAGGAGCTCCCAGGAAGGGGAACAGGTATGCTGGCTGCAGAATGCCAAGGCTTTAGGGAGTGTCCTTCATGCTCAGGTTTGCTTGTATAATTACTACTAAAACAAAGAGATGGAAACTTGGGGTTTGTGCAGTCTTCAGTAAGCATAAACCTGCCTAGCCTTGCAGGACTGGGAAAGATGTGGGTGTTCCTGTTGGGAGGAGTCAGGGGCTGCCAGTGGGTCCATCCTAATAGTCTCTTAGCATAGCTGTGCACATGCTCTTGTGGATGGGATGTTCACAGAGGTGGGCAAGGGCAACTTTCCACTCTCCCACCAGAGGACAAAAACTTTCTGGCTTCAGGTCTGTGCAGAGATGGCATGCAGGGAGAGGGCCCCCTAGCGTCTGTCCTTCCACTTCACACCTCTTCTCTGCCCATTTGGGGTACCCATGGTCGGGTATTCCTCCAGCCTTCCCAGAATCCTTGTGCAGGAGGCCCAGAAGCTCCAAGTTTCACTGTGGCCTGCTTCCTAGGAAGTCCTGTCTACAGGGCACATGCCTATCCCCAGTGGTAGGACAGAGGCAATTCAGAACTCTGGGCAGCTGCCAACACTGACTCAGAGATCACAAAGAACAGGGGCATGAGGGCCATAACGGCTGAGGAGTGCATGGTGAATTTACTACTACTAGAGAGGGCAGGTGGGGACATGGTTTTATTGGGTGGTGCTTCTGTTAAGTTCCACAGAAGGCCTTTATTCATGTATTTAGCCATAGAATGCAACTTCTGTCTACCTCCTGTCCTTTATGAGCTGTGCACAAAGCTCCCCATCTCTTAGGGGCAGCTCCCTTCATCTGGACAAACTCCTCCACAGGCTGGTGCTGGACTAGGGGGTTCAGAGGCAGGATGGTGCTGAAGGCTGAGGCTGTAATCTCAGGGACGCAAGGACATGAGACAGTAAGGGGGCTGGGCACTTAGTGGGAGGATAACCCTGGCCTAGGAGTCCTACAGAGGGAGTTACATCAACTCCACCCGGAGGATTCAGCATCCACAAGGGCCCTCAGGACCCTGCATACCCTTTCCTCATCATACAAAAGCTCCCACGGCTTTCCAATCTGAGGATGCTCCCCCACAGGGCACCACACCCTGGCTTACCTCCCTCCCCTGGAGCTTAAACCTCTGCTATTAAACACATGGTAAGGGGTGAGAAGATCTGGGGGTTGCATCTTTGGAACCACAAACAAAATAATCTCAATTCCTTAAAATAAACCAAGCTGCAGCTGGCCCTGTCACTCAGCAGGGAGCCCTGAACTCCTTACTTAAAAACCTATTGTTCCATGATCAAGGACAGCATAACACTTATTGGGGATGCAAGGAAAGCAAGCTCTGGTGGTGGGGCTGGTGGCAGGCAAAGGGCCATCATGTAAATGAGCTGGAGTCAGGACCAAGGCTAGTCCACTCCACATCCACAGCCCTACTCTCTCCCTGACACATCACAGCTTCTACCTTGCTAAGTTCAGGGTGTCCTCTCGCTGAGGGCCAGGTTTACAAGAGGATGACCCCAGCTTCCACTCCCACAGATGTGAACCCTCCCTCGGGGTCCTCTTCCAGCTAACCTCAGGTCCAATCTTAAGGAAGGAGTTGACAGCAGTCATCACAGCCCCATCCAGGATCTTCCAGACCACACAGCTTCTTTCTGAGATCACATGGTACTTAGGTCCAGTGCAGCTGGTCACGAAGAGACTGAGCAGCTTCCCAATAGTTACCACCTCAGTAACTGGGCAGGACAGCAGCCTCCTCTTCTGCCCACTCACCCGGTTAACCCTCCAACTTGCCCACCCATTCATTGCTCACCATCCTCCACCCACAGGACAAAGGCTTGACTTCCAGTCTTGCTATGGATGTACTTCTGTGGAGACAACACACAGGGCTGTGACAGGGCACTTCTGCTCTTCCACCGAGCATCAAATACTGTGAGGGGGACAGTCCTGCCCAGGCCCTCATAAGCAGGGACAATCTCCATTGCTTCCAAGGTAATGTGGAGGGTCTCCGACAAATACATAGGGAGAAAAAGTTCTGCTGGTAGGGAGCAGCCAGGGAACTGTGACACTGCAGTGCCCAAGGTCTGTCTGTCAATGGAACAACAGCCTGGCTCCTGGTAGGAAGCAGGAAGGAGCCAAGCACAGCAGCATGTGCCCATGATTCTAGCACACAGGAGGCTGAAGCAGGGATGCCAGTTCTAAGCCAGCTTGGGCTACATAGGTATCTGGGAGGCACAGGGGGAAGCAGACAGTATATCAAGGGACCAGAGCACATTCTGTCCAGGAGAGCTCAGGGTTTTCTGAGCACCTCAGTGGCCACTGGACAAAGGGAAGGGAACAGGGTCCTGCCAGGTCTGTCTCTACACCTGACACAATGTATCTACCATCTCAGAGTCCTGAGGCCAACACACTGGACTGCCTGGGCTTCTAAGAGGCTGGTTCTAAGGGGGAGGCAGTACAGAAATGCATGCTCTCAGGGAATTGACACCTTCCCCAAGTCTGCACTTAGGACAAGCCTCAAGGAAGCTAGCTGCCAATGGCTGCAGAAGAGGAAGGCAGAACATTTGGCCTTCATCTTGGATCTCTAAAGGCAAAGGGGCCTGCCCACCTGGGTTGTTCTGGAAGGTGCCCTGGGGACAGATACCACAAATCTAGTATGTGGCAACACCAGGAGCAGGTCCTCAAGGTCAACCAGCACTGGTCCTGGAATGTGGTCCGATGGCACAAACCTTATGGATCCAGGAGCTCTCCTAGCCCTGCCCCATCCTCCCAGGGTAGGACTCCCCCCTCCCCCCACCAATGTCCATCATTTGATGCTTCAAGCAAGTGTGACTTCCAACCTTGGACCTGCAGCAGCTCAAGTAGCTGCAACAGTAACACAGAAGTCCCCATAGTGAGCTAGAAACAACACAGCACATGAGCATAAAGATGTCACCCAGACACACAGAAAAAGTGGTGTGAAAGAACAATGACCCCTGTCAACAGGGACCGAAGAATCAAACAAAGATTTCTAAAAACAACCTGGTTATAATGTTCACACATGCAGGTAAAGCAAAAAGACATCCAGTCACAACTAGAGCTGTCTGAAACAGCCATCCTTTGTTTGGACAGACATAGAAACACAAACCAACATTCCCCAAGTCCTCCCCGGCTCTCAGAGGCCCAACAGGCAAAAGTCTCTTGGTAAAGCAGCTGTCGAACACTGGAATGAAAACTGTGGTAAGTCAGCTACATGAATCCCAAAGGCAGTGGAGGTCAAGGACAAAGCCATGATGGAAAAAGAGTTAATGGCTGCAGACAAAGGGCTCTGGGAGTCACAGGCCCAACAACCACAGTGCTACCCATCAGCTCCAAGGTCAGGAAAAGTTAAGTTCAGCTGGCTGAACCAAGCAGTGCAGAAGCGTCTTCCATACAAGTACTGCTAACCTGCCTATTCCGTTGAGCTCCGAGTCACCAAGTGCTGCGCTGTGACTTCATGCAAACTGTTCACATAAAAGCTGTTACTTCCAAGTTCTGGGGAGCACAGACTTGAGGACACATGGTGGGCTCTGAGCAAAGCTAAAACTAGCATGAGTGTCTCCATGGAACCTGGACCCTAGAGGTGGGGCCTGCTGCAGACAGGGATACTACAGAGTCTCTCTCACCACTGAGCTGGCTTGCCCACGGCTGAGGTGGGTTCAGGATGGCATGTGACTATGCAACTAATTACTAGTGGGGGATGTGAGCACTGAGGTCAGGAGCTGAAGCCAGTGCCCCAGGACTCGGCTTAGGGTCCACCGGTTGGGGAAAGCCAGCCTCCCGAGGGCTGGAGGTACACCCTTCAAGGCACTTCAACCTGATAATGTGGCTCAGTCTTCCAACACCAGAGGCAGATCCGGCCCACTGGACCCGGATGCAACTAGGGGAGGCTCCAGGGCACTGAGGGATAGGGCACGGGTCTCCTGCCATTCAAATAATGCACACCTGTCCTAGGAGATACAGTAAAACCACTAGCTAGAACCCAAGGAGCCCTCTGTGTAGACAAGGAGTCATGCTTGCTCTCGTCTGAGTATTGTCTCCTGCCTAGCAGACGGTCTGAGCCCCACAGCTGAACGTGCTACAGAGCAGAGCTGCAGGGTCAGCAGGCACAGGCAAGGTTCATCAGTTGTCACTTGATGCGGATGAGCAGGGCAAGGCAGAGTGGGTTGTGGCCACACACACACCAGGGTGCTCTTGAAGAGCCTCGAGTTTGATGACAGCCCTGAGAGTCACACGGGCCCGCCTCAACTGCTGCTGACTCCTGAACACCGTATGCAGCGCCTGCAGCTGCCCCATTTCTTGCATGGTGAAACACGGCTGCTGCTCTGCAAAGCGCACAAGTGCCTCAAAGGATGTGGCTGCCTGCTCCCAGGCTGCCTCATCATCGTCGTCACCAGCACCTCTCTCTGCCTTTTCTGCACGCCCAGTGGCCTGGGACGAGGCCACAACAGCAGGGGCCTCATCCATGTCCCTCCCTGCCACACTCTGCTCTTCTGCCCTGCTGTTCTGAAGCCTGCTGCCAGAACACGAGGGACCTTCTTTGACGAGCTCAAGGATGTGTGCGAAAGTCTTATTGTGAGGCTTGATGCTGCAGCACTCTGCTTCTTCCTCAGAGGAGGAGCCTTCAGCGAATGTGACAGTCGTAGGCCATAGCTTCCTCCAGGCCCGTCTGAAGACCCGGCTAGGCACAGCATTCCAAGCACAGGCCACATTGACTATGGCATCGTTCATGCTGTGGCGGGTGGGGAAGCCCTGGAAGGCCACAGGAGGGTTAATAAAGAACCTCATGAAGGCTCTGCGAATGCCTTGCTCTGTGGGCTGCAGTAAGGAGGTCACACTGGCAGGCAGGAAGATGGTGAAGACATTCTCTGACACGAGCTCAGACTCCTGTGGGTGGGCTCGGGAATGGTCCAGCAAGAGAATTGCCTTGCTGTCTTCAGGCAAGCCTATGGTTCTGAAGTGCTCTCTTACCGAGGGGACAAAAATATGATGGAACCAGTCTGAGAAAATCTCCTTGTCTACCCAGGCATTACCCTGGGCCTTGTAAGCAATAGGCAGGTGCTGGATACCTCTAAAGGATCTGGGGCCACCACCTTTCCCAATGGCCAAGGGCTTGAGTCTGTGGGAGCCTGTGGCATTGGCACACATTAGGACAGTCAGCCTGTCCTTGGCTTGTTTGAAGCGGGGCATAGTTCCATCATCCGGAGCAGAAGTTGGCAAGCACTGCCAGCCCAGCCCAGTCTCATCAGCGCTGTACACCTGCTCAGGAGACAGCCCATGCTCAGCTGCGAGGCTCCTGAAGAAGCCACAGAACTGCTCAGCAGCTTGGTGGTCAGCCACCTGCTTCTCGCTAGAGGCATCTAACTTTTTAATGCCATGCCTGGCCTTGAAGCGCCAAAGCCACCCTCCAGAGAACACACAGGGCTCTGTCAGCCGCATCTGTTTGTAGAAGTCCTTGGCCTTCTCGATGAGCATGGGGCCTGACACAGGGATGCCCTCAGCACGCTTTACCAGGAACCACTCATAGAGCACTCGGTCCAGGTGCTCCAGCTTGGGAGTATGCAGGGTACGCCGCTGCTCCAGTGCCTGGCGAGAGTCTGAGCTGGCAAAGAACCTGAGCAGCTGGGCCTTGTGAGCTTTGATGTCATACAGAGTGGACATGCCCACATTATACTCCTGCATCAGTGCCTTCCTGCTCTCACCACGCTCGAGCCGAGTACAGATGTCAATCTTCTCTTTCAGGGTCAGCACCACTCGCTTCCGCTTCTCCCCCTTGCCCTTGGCTGCAGCCTGCTTGGAGGCCATGATGAGGTGGTCTAGGATAGGCTGTGCCTGTCCTTCCCTATGTTTCTCTCTGGCTCCCTGGGCCAGTCTCTCCCTCTCTTGTCTGCCTTCACACAGGACTGATCCCTAGGCTCAAGCCAGGTTCATTCTTGGCTCTGCTCTCTGCCTACAACAGTGTCTTGCTTCAGTTTCCCTTTAGTATTGAGGCTCCAGCACATTCAGGCCTAGGAGTGTAGTCAGCTACTGTTCTCTTCAGGAGAGGTGAACAGAGTTGAGTTACCCTAGAATGCTGGAGCCTTGGGCCTTCACACAGATGGCAAGAGTGGCAGCTTTCCACTTCAACAGTGTCCAGGTTTCTGAACTGGGAATACTTCTTACCAGGATTCACAATGTTGTCTTACCCATACATTTCAGGAACTGGAAAGCAGAGGAGAAAGGTTACTAAGAACACTCAAAATGGGCTTAGAGTCACAGGAAAGCATCATCTCAAACATCAGTGCCATTCCGCCTGGGGTTTGCTATTCAGTCTGTTAACTAGGCCTTCCTTGCAGACCATAGATCAAGCAGCACCAGCAACCTTCAGAACTGTCCAGACAAGGTAACAGTCATAATGGCTTATGCCCACCCCCTCACCCCAGCCCACCCCCCCGAAAACTTTATCTTTTATCTGGGTGGTTTCTTCCAATCAAGCATTTGATGAACCAGAAGGTACAGGTTACTTCCATGAGCAGCACAAAAGTGTACCGGAGACCACAATGTAAGAGACATTTATTCAAATGTGCAAGAGTTCCAAAGATACACGGGGAATGCCAGCTTGTCACCAGCCAGCTGTTACCCCCTCAATCAGTCTCTTAGTCTCCAGAACTTGGTGCTGGTCCCTGAGGGCCTCCCATTCCAGTCACAGTGAGGGCAGTGTGCATACACTGGCACACAGGACACTTGCTGTGTGCACCTCACTGTGGAACAGAAGGAAATCAAGGCCACAGTCTACTCTCAGGGGGAATATTTAATAACAAACCAGGGAGTGAGGAATTTTGCAGCAACTTGAGGGGCAGACAAGCCTCCAGAAGGCGGCTCAGCTCATGATGGCTGTCTCTTGGTGCCTGCCCTGCAGATGTGTAGAGAGTGGTCAAGTGGCTGAATACACCCACATCAGAAAAGAAATTTTGCCGAGCTGAGTATGGCAGCTCAAACCTGTCATCTTAGCATTTGGGAAACTGAGGCAGAGCTGCTTTGAGTAGAGGGCCAGCCTGAGCTACCCAGTGAGTTCTACGAAGGGAGAAAGGGAAATGAGGAAGAGAGGGAAAATTTGAATCTTGTACCACTCTTAGAACCTCCTAAACGGGGCTGCAGAAATCCGGGAAGCTTCTAACCTTGGGACTTCAAGGGGAGCACTGACAATCCAGTGCCATTTGAACAGGGGCTTAAAGAACTACTTTTCTGGGGCGGGAGTGTAAGCTCCTAAGTGGAGAGGCAAATTTTTTTCGAGTCGGTCCTGAGGCATCTGGAGGACAGGTGTAAGAAACAGCCTGCCATCGGGCTGCAGCCCTGACGACACAGGCAAGAAACGAATGAATGAAGGGTCCTGGGAGGGGAGGAACAACCGAGCTTGTCCGGTCTGCGTGCTGGTGGAGCCCATGGGAGCCGAGGGGACCCGATCCCGAGGGAGGACCCCTGAGAAAGGAT